GAATTATTTTCATAATGTCTCTTATCACCTATATGCAGAGGGTATTCAGCTGTACTGCTTCTTTAAGGATTCTGAGCTCTACAAACTGTCTGAATTACTAGAGTGATTATCAGCTATCACCAGCTGGCTAGAAGATTACTTCCTTCAGTTAAACTCTTAAAAAACTGAATCATTGCCCCTGAGTGCATGGTTCCCCTGATTAGACGAAAACTTGGTAATTTATCCTCTGCTGTCAAGACGAACTTCAGGAATTTGGGTATCGTTTTTGACCAATCAATGTCTCTTGAAGGTCACTCAAAAACATTGGTCCAAAACTGTTTTTATCACTTAAGAAATATCTTCAAACTGCAAGGATTGGTGTCTAAACATGAACGTGAAATGGTTCTCCATGCCTTTTTCTCCTCCTGTCTAGATTACTGTAACACTTTTCACATGTTTTAACAAAAAAGCTCTTGACAGCCTTCAGTTGGTCCAGAACTCTGCAGCGAGGCTCCTAACTGGAGAAAACAGAAGAGCACACATCACTCCTATTCTAATGTATCTGCACTGGTTACCCGTTAACTTTGGAGTTCATTTTAGAATCCTGACTAGAACTTTCAGGGCTCTACATGGTCAAGCTCCTCTCTATATTTCTGAACTGTTGAAGCCTTATGCCCCTACCCGAGGCCTGAGGTCCACCCACCAGAACTTTCTAGAAGTTCCAAAGACCAGATATAAAAGTTGAGGTGATGGCTTCTTCCAGATTGTTGCACCCCAACTTTGGAATGATCTTCCTTAATCTTTTTAAACCAATAGTGTTGGATGATCGCTTACATACAGACACTAATCACAGAGCGTACTCTGCTGGTTGGCGACCTTTCTCATGGACTAGTAAGTCTTTAAAGTATGAATACATTAAGACACAATGTGACTGTTACATTCCCCTCTGGAGTCTAGGAGGTTCTGAGAGGGATGTCCAATATTTAGACTCTTCTGTGATGTTAAAATGACTAGAGTTATCCACTTGTATGGGTTTGGTGTGTCACCGGGTTAACTATACCACAACAAAAAACTGTTTTCACAAATGTCCTAACTGGACTTATCTTTCTTCTACAAAACTTTAAGTACCAACACAGGGGTCACAAACTATGAGAGGAAGCTACGTATAAGAAAATATGTGTCATTTAAGTAAAAGAGTAAGTAATAAAACACTGGTAAAACAGGCTAAAATAGATCAAAATCAGCTAAAAGCTATACAGGTTCTTCTAAAAAAAATTTGCATATTGTGATAAAGTTCATTATTTTCTGTAATGTACTGATAAACAGACTTTCATATATATTAGATTCATTACACACAACTGAAGTAGTTCAAGCCTTTTATTGTTTCTAATATTGATGTGTAGCGTGTTAATCTACATACTAGAATCAACACTGTTTGCTATCAGTTGTTAGATTCTGAGAATGATCAAGCAAATTAGCATATGAAGCTTATATCATGTATAAATATCCAGGATACTTAAATAATCAATAGAAGTTCATACACCAACCTGCTTGGTCTATATTTAATCCAAAGATTAGTATTTAATTTAAGACAATTAAATTTAATAGCAAAAGTTTATTTTTTGAATCAGAAGTTAGGACTCTTTGCATATTCAATAACCAAGAATATTTATACCACTCTTGTGTTTCATTTCAAAGATGAGGTAGAGTTTAAAAGTTAAGAATTTATTACTAACAATTTTAAACTTGACAATTTGAAATGACAATTCAGAAATGAAAATTTTGAACAGAGAATTTGATATTAAACTTGTTTTAAAGGCAAACCTGTGATTGAATGAAAGCTAAATTGAAAATGCGAGTTTGGATGTGTGAATGTTCTCAGGTTGGAAATGATGGTTTGCAGCTAACTGAGTTGTTTCTTAGGAAGAACAGCATCAAATACCATCTTGTGTGCTACCTCACCCAGCAAGACGACCCTCTGTGTGGATCCAGAGGTCAAGGAGGATGTTGTCAGCCTCAGGGTACTCGGTCCGGTAGAGAAGACGCGAGTAGAACCGAACCTCTGGTCCAGAGATGTCGCAGGGTACACAGTGTCGAGCGTCTGGCTTAATTCTGAAGAAGTTTTGCATCTTACTTCTCAAAATCAATAACTCTGAAGGAGTTTTGCGTCAGCTGGTTATCGTGCGTTTATTCGAAGCTATTCTATCGGCGTGACAGAACAGCAGGTGGAGATTCGGGCGGCCGTTCCCTCGTCTCCTCGTATGGTTCAAGAACTGAACTTTTGCTGCTGGAAATTTAGTTTTAACAAAACCCTCAGAACACGCCCACTCAGAGCAAGAAAGCTTTGGTCATGAGTCAAAGACATGTGATGGCAGTTTAACTTTTACCCTGGATAAGCCCTCTGCGTTGGATGGATAAAATGGAGGATGACCTTCTGGTTTGCTGAACACACATAACCGATCATCACAATAATCATTATTAACCCAAAGCATAATAATTCATTTCAGTAATTAAGATACATTTACTGAACCAAGAGATTACTTATGATGATTGTAATACAGTAATAAAGTCAAAGAGTTTATTAAAATTATTATTTAAAATTATTGTGATCTTCAAGTGTCCTTCATTCTGGGACGGAACAGCAGCAGATAAAGATGATATTCAGCAGACATCATGGCTCCTGGATTAATCTGTGGAACCAAAAGTTACAGTCTGACCCTGCCTGACCCAGCTGGGAAATTGTGACCTTTGTCACAAATTAGAGGCCCTTCGTGACGCTACAGATGATTTTGGCATACAGCTCATGAAAACCCAAAATTCCTATCTAAAAAGATTAGCATATCATGAAAAGGTTCTCTAAACGAGCTATTAACCTAATCATCTGAATCAACTAATTAACTCTAAACACCTGCAAAAGATTCCTGAGGCTTTTAAAAACTCCCAGCCTGGATCATTACTCAAAACCGCAATCATGGGTAAGACTGCCGACCTGACTGCTGTCCAGAAGGCCATCATTGACACCCTCAAGCAAGAGGGTAAGACACAGACAGAAATTTCTTAGCGAATAGGCTGTTCCCAGAGTGCTGTATCAAGGCATCGCAGTGGGAAGTCAGTGGGAAGGAAAAAGTGTGGCAGAAAACGCTGCACAACGAGAAGATGTGACCGGACCCTGAATAAGATTGTGGAGAAGGACCGATTCCAGACCTTGGGGGGCCTGCAGAAGCAGTGGACTGAGTCTGGAGTAGAAACATCCAGAGCCACCGTGTACAGGCGTGTGCAGGAAATGGGCTACAGGTGCCGCATTCCCCAGGTCAAGCCACTTTTGAACCAGAAACAGCGGCAGAAGCGCCTGACCTGGGCTACAGAGAAGCAGCACTGGACTGTTGCTCAGTGGTCCAAAGTACTTTTTTCAGATGAAAGCAAATTTTGCATGTCATTTGGAAATCAAGGTGCCAGAGTCTGGAGGAAGACTGGGCAGAGGGAAATGCCAAAATGCCTGAAGTCCAATGTCAAGTACCCAAAGTCAGTAATGGTCAGGGGTGCCATGTCAGCTGCTGGTGTTGGTCCACTATGTTTTATCAAGGGCAGGGTTAATGCAGCTAGCTATCAGGAGATTTTGGAGCACTTCATGCTTCCATCTGCTGAAAAGCTTCATGGAGATGAAGATTTCATTTTTCAGCACGACCTAGCACCTGCTCACAGTGCCAAAACCACTGGTAAATGGTTTACTGACCATGGTATTGCTGTGCTCAATTGGCCTGCCAACGCTCCTGACCTAAACCCCATAGATAATCTGTGGGATATTGTGAAGAGAAAGTTGAGAGATGCGAGACCCAACACTCGGGATGAGCTTAAGGCTGCTATCGAAGCATCCTGGGCCTCCATAACACCTCAGCAGTGCCATAGACCGATTGCCTCCATGCCACGCTGCATTAAAGCAGTCATTTTTGCAGAAGAATTCCCAACGAAGTATTGAGTACATAACTGAACATAATTATTTGAAGGTTGATTTTTTTGTATTAAAAACACTTTTCTTTTATTGGTCGGATGAAAGATGCCAAGTTTTTTAGATAGGAATTTTGGGTTTTCATGAGCTGTATGCCAAAATCATCAATATTGGAAACAATAAATGGCTTGAACTACTTCAGTTGTGTGTAATGAATCTAATATATATGAAGGGTCTAATGTTTATCAGTACATTACAGACAATAATGAACTTTATCACAATATGCTAATTTTTTTAGAAGGACCTGTACTAAAAAGGTGAGTCTTGAGCCTGGCCTTAAAAACAAGAACACTCTCTATGGCCCTGAGGCCTTCTGGCAGACTATTCCAGAGGTGAGGGCCATAAAACTGGAAGGATGCCTCGCCTTGGGAGTGTGTCCTCACTTTTGGAATGACGAGGAGATGGCTGCCAGAGGAGTGCAGGGACCGCAATGGCTTGTATCTATGAAGCAGTTCTGAGAGATAAGAAGGCCCAAGACCATTAAGACAATTTAAAAACCATTAAAAGAACCTTAAAGTCGATCCTGAAAGGTACAGGAAGCCAATGCATCTTGTTTAAGACAGGTGTAATGTGCTCCTGCCTCCTGGTTTTTGTCAGGAGACAAGCTGCTGAATTTTGTGGAAGTTGTAAACCTGAGCTACTCTTTTTTTTCTTCTTGTTAGTATCAGCGGAGGGGAGGCCCATGGCTCGTTTCGCTGGGTGGGGAAGGGGGGTGGGGACCACGCTTAGCCTGGCGGGTGACCAAGTATTATGAAGCACTGGGGTAAACCCTGCCCTTTATGGGCATGTTCTTGTAAAACCAGCAGAAACCACCCAAAGACATAATAATTACCGCATGAGTGAATGAATGAAGCTTGAGACAGTTGCTGTTGTTTTCCAGGCACACATGGTAAACGTCATTTGTGTTGTTACTGTGATTAGCTAAAGACAAAACACCACCTCCACTCTGTTTTACTCTTGGTATACACAACACTGAGACAATTTAATGTAAATATTACATGGATTGTGTTTGCAGGTGTCAGACAGACCCATGTGAGCAGTGTACCCATCAGGGTCAGTACCATGCAGTTGGAGAAAGATGGGGAGCAGATCAGTGCCAGTTGTGCTACTGTCATCCTAATGTCACCGTGCAGTGTGCCCCATATTGCCAGTATGATGTCACTGGATGCCCTCAGGTAATGTTTGTGTGTGTGTGTGTGTGTGTGTGTGTGTGTGTGTGTGTGTGTGTGTGTGTGTGTGTGTGTGTGTGTGTGTGTGTGTGTGTGTGTGTGTGTGTGTGTGTGTAGTAAAGGCCAAAAGTTTGGACACTCCTTCTCCTTCAATGTGTTTTCCGTATCTTCTTGACCATGGTCATTTACAACGGGACTAACAAGTGCTAAACACCTCTGGGAACTCCCTCCAGACTGTTGGAAAACCATCTCAGGTGACTACCTCTTGAAGCTCATCAGGAGAATACCAAGAGTGTGTAAATCATTAATCAGAGCAAAGGGTGGCTTTTACGAAGAAAATGGAATATAAAACATGTTTTCAGTTATTTCACCTGTTTTGCTTACGAATTAAAGAATTAAAATGCCACAAATTAAGCACTTGAATTTTCTATTTCAGAGCAGAGTTTCATATCGAGACAATCTTTTTAATTTGAGAGTTAGATTTTATATTATTGCTCTCAAAACTTGTAATGCTTGCACTCAACATGCCTGCTCTCTTTCAGATATACTCTGTTCTCCGTCAGATCTTTGTTTCTGCGCTCATATTTAACCTTCTTACACTGGTATTAGCTTCTCACGTGAAAACATTTTCTCTGCACAGATCAAAACTGCTCCCACAAGTCTGTCTCACATATTTTTTCTGCTCTCGCTCAAAACTTGGATGTATAATCTCCCAGCAACTGCTCAGCCAATAGGAGAACTGTATGGAACTGGGTGATGAAAAACGTCGTGGGATGTGCTCAATTTTAAAGCGGGTTATCCCAGATATATGAATACGTAGACGCCCAATTGGGCACTGGAACAGCTTCACCACCATATTGGATGGGTCTCCTCCACTCCAAAGTCAATGCAGAGCAGTGACTGTAAGAAAAGATGCTGAGTGAACAACTACGCCCGTTTCTGTGCCACCTACGGTTGCAACAACTGGCGTACAATTGAAAACAAGTCAAGGGTGCCTGGGACTAGGGAGCTGCTGCCCCCCTCCAGAGGTGCTTGGGTTGCCTCGGGGGAGGACTACTGGTGATTGTGAGTGGGGCCCCTTGGGGGTCTTGCCGGTGGCCACGGGTCACTGCCTGGCAGCTGCATTGTCCCTGAGCAGCTCTTGGTGGGGGCCTGGGGGCTCGAGGTGTGTGGGTGGCCGACCCTGTGTGGGGATCTGGGCAGGGCCTTGGGGGTCGGGTCCTGACATGTATGCTGCCGGGAAGAAGGCGGGAACATGCGGCAGCGCCTGGCTCGGGCTCTGTGGCCTCAGGTAGACCTTGGCTCCTCTGCTGCCCATCACAGGGGAGGGGCATGTCCAGGAGGGGAAGGACCCAACCGTACCTGGATGTCCTATGTCTTATATATTCTGGAAGTTGTGCCGTTATGGCTGCTCTCGTGACTGCCTGTACCTGTTTTTGTCTACATGTGTATGTTTAACCTTGGTCAGGTTGTGTTTGCGGAGTCAAGTTCCTATGCTCTGGGTCTCTGGAGCGCTGGCAGTAAAGCTGATTCTGATTCTGATTCTGAAATGCAGGGATGGGAGTAGATATTCTGCTGGATTGGTGCCCTCGGACTCCGTGGAGCTCTGCGATGCTGCTGCTTTGGGCCCTGGCAAGATGGGCTGGGGTCTCCATGCCCTGGGTGGCATTTTGGCAACAGAGGAGCCTATTGGGGCCAGTGGGGAAGCTGGCTCCCTGGAGGGCTTAGGCCAACCAGCCATTCTTACCCATCCCCACACATTTTTTATCCTCCTGCTCCCTCACATCATCACACAAACATGCACATAGGACCCTGGGGGGTGGACAAGTCAGGGGGTGCAGGTATGGACCCCATTTCCGCATTCCTGTGGCAGTCTGCCCCTCAATTTTATTTGCACCTTAAACACTTCCACTGACGACATTCCACACAAACACACACTTAGGGCCTTGGGAGTGAGCACATTCAACGTCATTTGGCAGGCGGATCTTTCAGCCTCATCCCGAGTGCCGGTGCCCACTTCCAATTTTAAACTGCACTTAGACACTGAGGGCTGTGGGTGCAAGTGGGGTGGTGTTGTGGCATCAGCTGGCATAGGCCAGACAATGCCCGCACTGCCCGCTCACCACAGCCATGGAATACACCTCATCAACACGCACTAACACTAAATTGGAACCGGCGGAGGGAGACTAGGGGTCTTAGCACATCTCTGTTGTTGCTTGGCTTCCTGGGGCTGGAGGCTAGGAGGGGGATCTGGCTGTCTGGTTGGGGTCGGGGGTGGTGGGTTGCTTTTCTCAGCGTTGGGTGGGGGAGCCTGCTCATCAGCACCCCAGCAGAAAGGGTTGAAGTCTGGGAACCGGTGATGGTTGTACCCCATGTCCAGCAGTACCGGGACCAGGGTGAATAGGGTGTGTATAGGTATCATGAGTGGGTGTCTGGCGTGCATTTTTGTAAGTCTTAGGCTTTATGTGTATGTGTGAGCATGAGGGAGGGAGTGTGTGACTGTGTCTGTGTATGACTGTATATGTCAGGTGGGGCCACTGACTCCTCCCCTCTCCTGGGACTTCTTTTGATGCTATACATCTTCGTCTCCCGTGTACACACACAGGTGATAGCTTGCTCTTGTTGTATTGTTGTGTGTCCCTTTTCTGCAGGTCTAGAAGCAGACCCTTGTTTACTTCCAGTTTCTTTCATGAAGTGTTTACAGCATGGACAATGAGGTGTTGATCCTGGCAGTGGAGGGACTTAGCACACTAAATGACAAACATCCTTTTTATAAGGATAACATGAAAACCTAGATCAGACTTAAGCCTTTTGAGTGTCATTTTCCTGGATCGAGGGATTTTGTGATCTCGCGAGCCCAGCGAGAAAGCCGTTCCATGCCCAAGACTTTCCTGGTGTGTATTGGGGGCGACGGTGGCACAGGAGTTAAGTGCTCGCCCCATAATCTGAAGGTTGCAGGTTCGAGTCCTGCTCAGTCTGTCGCTGTCATTGTGTCCTTGGGCAAGACAGTTAACCCACGTTGCCTGCTAGTGGTGGTCGGAGGGACCGGTGGCGCCAGTGCTCGGCAGCCTCGCCCTTGTCAGTGTGCCCCAGGGCAGCTGTGGCTACATTGTAGCTCTTCCCCACCAGTGTGTGAATGTGTGAATTGTGTTGTAAAGCGACTTGGGGGTTTCATGACTCTAGAAGGCGCTATATCAAATACAGGCCATTTACCATTTACTGGACTGCATTGAAGCTCATGAGTAAACTTCTCCGCTGCTATTCCGCGTCGCTGATGTTCCAGTGTGAAATAGGGTCCATGTTCAGGTTAGTTTTACCTGGAAACACAATATAAATCTGCACTGCACTGGCTCCCGGTAAAATATCGAGCTCAGTTTAAAATCTTAACTCTCGTTTATAAGGCCCTCCAGGGCAGTGCCCCCTCGTATATTATTGCGCTTTTGAACAGGTATGCTCCATCTCGGGCTCTTCGCTCAGCCGAGCAGGAACTTCTGGTGGTCCCCCAGTCGAAGTTTCGATCGAGGGGTAGTCGTGCTTTTTCTATTTTGGCTCCAACTCTGTGGAACGAATTGCCACTGAGCATTAGGCAGGCTCCATCCCTTCAAGTTTTTAAGTCTCGTTTAAAGACTCATTTTTATCTGATTGCGTTTCAGCGCTAGGGTCACTTGAATTGCCCTAACATTATGGTTTTAACTATTCTTCTTTTTATACCGGATGCTTGATTTTATTTTGTCTGACATTTGTTTTTTTTAATCGATTGGTCTCATTCCAATATCTCTTATCTGTAATGCTGTTTGCTTGCTATTTTATGATTTTATGTTTTTATCGTGCTTTTATGCCCATGTATTGAGAATGTTTTTCTTTTAATGATGCTGTTCAGCACCTTGGGCTTCGGATAATGTTGTAGAAGGTGCTATACAAATAAAATCTGATTGATTGATTGATTGATTAAATGTGGAAAAACACATTCCACCTAAAAGTCAAATGTTTTAGTGTCACTGAGCAAAATTTGTACGTGATCCTCTTCATCAGTAACCTGCCTCCCACCGTGGGTTTAACATGATTCCCTCAACTGGAAACTCATTTTGTTTTTATTCATCAAAACACCAAATAAGACTAGTTTCACTTGTGAAGTTCTTCCTGTTTGTGCAGCATTTACAGGTGGATCTCCTAAAACGAGAGTATGTAGTCCAGTTGTCACCTCCTGAATGGATTCTGGAACAAAGTTCTTGTTGGCGGTCTGGAGAAAGCAGAGAAAAAAATAAACATATTTACATGATCAGTTTTATTAATAAAGACGTAGAAACCTCCTAATTCATAACTGTGTCGTGTTTTGCTGATGTCTGAGCATCAAAGCAGTAAGATGGCTTAGGAGAGCCTGCAGCCTGCACACCTGAATGGTTACGGCCCGACTCTCCACATAAACAGGAAAAACAGAAAATGATGAGTCATGGTGAAAAGGCTTGCTCAAACATAAATGTGCCCCAGAAAGTAAAAGAACTGCAAAGCTGAATGTAAAGTTTAGGGCAGCAGTAGCAGTGGGGTTATTTCTCATTTAGATCAGGAACCCAGAGATTTTTAGGAATCTAGAGAACAGTGTTCCTGCAGGTTCTGTCGACACACGATCGACCAGATGAGCAAGAATACCTGTGAGGTGACATCTGGGAGGCAGAAGCAGCACGCTTCAGGAGCATCACCTGCTATCTCTAGAAATCCTGCTAGATGAATCCAGACGTGACGGTCTCCTGCTAGCCTGATGTATCTCTGTTAAAAGTGAGGAAACCAGAATGCTCCATCCGTTTGTGGTAAAGCTCTGCAATCTCTCATCTTTCTGACCTCATCTCTCCTTTCCTTTTGTAGTTCACGAACAGCAAACACAGCAGCACCTACTTTTACACATAAACAATCCTGTAGTGTGTTTTTCAAAGAAATATAACTAAAACCTTTAAGACCGGCGGGAGCGCCGGCGCTCCCTTTTGCATATCTGTGTTCAAATGCTTGTACAA